TTCTTGGTTGTAGAAAAAGGTAAAATTGAAGATTAGCAGACCATCTGGCTCCTGCATATTATGAGCTGTGTAAAAAAAAAAAAAAAGACAGATTCATTCAAATACACAAGCCTGTGTCATCTCGATTGTTTGCCAACAAAAAGTTGTGTTGCTGTGTAGAGCTGAGCATACGGCAACTTTTGATTCCATAGACCCATAGACCAGCGCACAATTCATTACGTAGATCTACGTCAAGACCAGCTTATTATTGTAATAATTATCAGTTGCCGGGGGAAAAAAGACTGACGCGTATGCGACGTTCAACGCCCGGACCGATAGTGCCCCCCCCACCCCCCTGCCCGACACGCACACAGCCACATGTGTGCAGGCCGCCCATCCGACCCCGACACATGCTAACGAGCCATCTTTAATTGCTTCTGATGACCTCTTGACAAATAAACATTTATTAGAAGCGCTATAACTTTTCAGGCCGGCCTCAAATTCATAGAAGATAAAAACTCGGCTCCTGCACAAAACGCCTTTTTGCCCGAAGTGATCCCAGCCTTGAGGCGAGTCACGAGTGAGGCAGGACAGGAAGCCGGAGTCACGAGTCACAGGAAGTCGGAAGTGATGTCATGCTGGACAAGAATCAGAGTCCGAATAACATTTTGGCCGGCACTATTTCTCCGAACGTTCGGGAAAATAAAGCTGGGCACTATTTCTCCGAACACTCTGAAATCACATCCTTTCCCGCAAATTTCGGATATTATAGAGTATAGGCCTACCAAAGATTGTTCGTATACAATATGGTTCAATCGGTCCAAAAAAGTCCGCAGTAAATATTTATAATATAAAGAAATGCTACAGTCCAAACAGTTTTTCGCTACAGATATGACGTGTTGTCTATGAAAGGTGCTGCTCTTAAACTTAATGATTAATGTGTTGTGTTCACTCGTGTGCTGTCTAGATCTAGATCTACGGAGGGTTGTTGATAACGACACATACATAGCATAGAACTAGCTTCTGCGTTTGTCGCGGCCGCAACCAATCAATAGTGGCTCCATTTTTTGGCATTTTTTGGTAGGGGAATAAAAGTCAAATTTAAAAAAAAAAAAAAGAAACCGAAACCTCTTTACTTTTGAAAGAAAGTTCACTTAGATTCACTTATTCTCTTTCTCATTTGTTGTCACCACGTTGATTTGTTGAATACGTTACAGTTACTTTTATTTTTCCCTCTTTGACTCTTTGTGGTGTTTTATTTTGTTAGTGTGTAATTTTTTTTTCTTGTTATTGTTATATATATACATGTGTATAGATTTAAATGTTTTATGTTAGAGCGTACGTTCCACCAAAACCGATTACTTGTACTGACACTGGCAGGCCCCTTAATGTGTGTCATTCCATAATTTACATGTAATATCCTGAACTTTTTTTTTATTTACGCACTTTTAGGGTTAAAACGGGTAATTTTCTTCGGACAGGTTGACACACACCCTTATTTGTTAATTTTTGTGGTTGTTTATGGACTGTTCGATTAATTTTGATTTAATTCTGTTGTGAAACCTTTCTTTTTCACGTTTTTACACTCTAAAAATCTCTAGACTAGCTCTTGAAAATTGAAATAGATATAGATCCCAAAATTTGCTCCTGTGTGTGTGTGTGTGTGTGTGTGTGTGTGTGTGTGTGTGTGTGTGTGTGTGCATGTGCGTGTGTGAGTGTATCTGTGTGTGGTTAGTAAGTGTGTAAATGGAGAGTGAGGAGTGTGTGTGTGTTTTTCGGGCTTTATTTCATCCTTTATTCAGTAACAGTTCAAAGTATACAAAAATAGAAACACAGAATCCATTCACTCCAGTGCTCATGAGTCGTTCCTCTCTTTCAGTTTCACTCATTCTTTCAATTCCCGTAGTGTTCTCTCCCGTGGCTCATCCCCGTCCTCATGACTTTCACACCCCACCCCCTCCCTCCAGGCACACACAAAGAAAATCTCACTCATTCCCTTGCACCCTGCGAGCCATGGGGGGGGGGGGGGGGGGGGGGGGGGGGGTGTCCCCCCCTTGCAGTTGTTGCCTGTGGATACACTCGTAAATTCCACCTTTCACCCGCTCTGTCACTCACACTGTCTCTCCATCAACAACTCAGCTCGTCATACGTTCAAAAGTTGCCCACTGATCATGTTTAGTTAGTGTGTGTTCAGTATAAGTTTGTGTGTACATGTGCATGATGGTGGTGGGTGTGTGGTGGGTGTTACTGAAGGTTGTATGTAGGCGGACTGGCCATGCGGTGTTCCTTCCTAGACCAGAGGCAGAATGAAAGTTGGCGCCGAACTCTCGCAATAAATAGGCAAAAAATCACGAGACCGGAAGCCGGAAACCGTTCGGAGAAATAAAGATCGGCACTATTTCTCCGAACGTTCGGAGAAATAGTCACTTCATAACATTTTTTCATATTCGGACTCGAGTCCGAATAGTCACTTCGTCTCAGCAAACCCCCATGTTTACAATCGATCGGCCGTGGCGCCCGGGCATTTTTGGCGGGTTACTTCCACTGAAACGCAAAGCGCTTCAAGTTCTAGGACACACCCACCAACAATTAACATCATTAAAGGCTATGGCACTCATGGTGGTAGGCTGGTAGGCGATTTTGTAGTTTCGTTCGTTAAAGTCAAGCAGGGGGGTTTCAGGGGGGCTTGCCCCCCTGACCTAAAAAAAATATGGAGGTCCTAATTTGATGGTTTGCAGTTAGGTTGCATCCCTGCTCTTTGTGTAGCCTAATTCAAATAGTATTTGGTCTTCAAGACTTATGGATTTCTTCTCTGGATGTAAACAAATGGATCGTGGACTTTAACGAACGGAACTACAAGATCACCGGCTGGTAGTGGCAGGCTAATCACGCCTCAATTCTCTCGCCCTTTCACTTCCTCTTCTATCCTTCCCGTAGTCTATTCCTGAACCTCTGTCAATGGAAGAAACCTGTTCATAGTATACAACTCATTTTTAAAATGTCTCCAACATAAGACAGGTATGACTGGAATTACCTTTCCACATGTTAGTGCGCATCTGACGTGTACAGACCACAGGCAAAACAAAGCTGTCAGAATCTGCAGCAAACCGATAGCAGCAAAGGCAATCAAACCCCCTTCAAAGTAGTCTTCAATTCCATATAAAACTGTCCAGATATACGCCCATATAGAATAAATAAATAAAAATGGAAAAACATATCCATGTAAGAGCACAGGCCGAAGATTGTAAAAGGCCAAACGGTGAATCTCTTCGTTCAAGGAGGCAGCCATGTTTCTCTCAAATGATTATTGACAAATACTAATTGCCGAGACAATTAAAATTATTATTTTTTGTAATATTCACTGATATCAACCATTACATGTTTTAAACCAATTCAAACAACAAAAATAATAGTTTCAGCTTAATATTTAATCATGAAACCTGTTTTCACATCTTTTTTGTATCACAGTCTATATAAGATTAACAGATTTTATCCCTCATCTTACATTTTGATCATTTGGTCAATTAGTTGGAAACGCCGTGATGGTAGAAATAATGCTATGATTACAACTAGTTTCAGAGGCTGAAAGAACTATTATTGGGCTGCCAAATAGAACATAGGCTATTATACTATCCTTGTATGTTTGGTCTCCGTGTGAATGACAACAGCAGTGCTTTACAACTACTACTGTTCTGTTGTTAGTTCGAGTCATGATGATATGCATGCCTCAAGAATAACAAAAAATAATTGCGACTGTCCTTGTACGTGGATGTTTTTTGGATAAATAACTGCCTTGTTTAGAAGACAACCCTAAAGGATCTTTTGTAAGTTTGTTAATTTTTCGTGTATGACTAGATTTATGACATAAGGTTTTAGCCTCTTCTACTCTATTCCCAGCCTCAAGATCTTGACTTATTGTAGGCCTAGGCTATAGCCTAGCTAGATCTAGAGGCCTAGCCTACACAGCGGCCTACACCTACAGACATAGATTCTAGATTTAGATCTAGATTCTAGATCTAGATCTAGTGACAGAAGAAGTAACAGAAGGCAAAAGAATAAAATTTTGTAACACTTGAATTGTAGCCTTGATCTAGATTTCTAAATGTCTTTAGATTTTAGTACGCAAGACAAAACTCACTTTTGTGCCTGTGCTCACTGTCCGCTTGCAATGCAAGAAAGCAAATTACACAAAAATCTTTTTCTTTAGCCTGCTGTTACAGTAGGCCTACAGAAAGTGGAGGGATCCCGATACGAGCGACCACTAGGAAAGAGTAGAATTTTGGGGTAGGGTAACAAGGGTCAGGTCTCTTCTTTTTTGTATTTGTTGGCGTGGTCGCTCGTTACGGAAGTCCTTCCACAGAAAATGAATACAGATCTAATAGAGTGCAAGCAAGATCTTTGAGTTTGAGTGCAGTAGATCATGTCACAGAGTTGCAATATTTAGTTCTGACTGAAGAACTGTACACACCTCTGTCCAAGACTGCCTCCAACTCTAAACCAGAACAGAAACTATCGTCACTTCCATTTTGTTCTTTTAGTTGCATGTATAATACTTTTTTTTCTTATTAAATTCTCATGTGAGCCTTCTTCTTAACTGTCTAGACAACTTCCTTAAAACTGTCTTTCACTACTTCTTTATTAATAATTTCATAGATCATTGCCTATTTCACCCTGGATCAGGAATAGAAACATTTTCCACCTTTCCCTCCTAGGCGAGTCACTTTCATGTCACTCCAAGTCTTCCCACTTTTCTGTCCATTTCTGTAACTCTTCTCCAGGTTCCACGTAGTCTTCCCCTTGATCTTTTACCCTGTGGGTTCCAATCTTCTAACACTTTCCTTGTTTATGCAGCTGCTTGACTTCCTGAAAGTGTGTCCAATCCTTGGAGTAACTATTAAAAGGAGAGGCTGCGAGTCGCGTAACGTGAAGCCGCAGCAGACGACGGTCGGCCATGTTTGTGAGATCAGCTCAGTTGTAAACTTAGTGTCGACCAAATGGCAGTTTGCGTAGCGTTCGGGTCTGGTGGGCCTCTCATTCAAAGGTCCAGGGTTCGAATCCGAGTACTGACGGAAAAATTTTGTTCTCTAAAATTCTACATTCTCTGTCGTCTGCTTTCGTCTCCACTTTCTGCCCCCACCTCCTCAGGGCTCCGGACTCTTTCTGCAGCCTTTCTACTGCCACTCCTTGGCTCCTTCTTACAGGCTCTGTCTTTCAGCCACACCCCTGATCTTATGGTAGGAAGAATGATCTACCCCTAGCCTGCTCGGACAAGGGCGAAAAAATCTCAGAGGTCCCGTATGCAAAATGCGCACATTAAAGGTCCCTTGGTGGTCTAAAATTGATAAGAGTAGGCTTCGGCCGCCACCTGGGAAAAATTCAAAATTTCCTACCAACTTAAAATGTTTAATGTGTCCCTCGAGCTCATATGACTTTATGCAGTTGTGAGTGCCGTAAAACACTTATAAGGCCTACGAAAAATATTTTTTTTAATATCAGTCTCTAGCTAAGGCACTGAACTTGATGACGAAGTGCCTTCTGATTTAGCCATAAAAATGCATCTCACAGTAAATACAGAATGAAACAAATTGAAGAAAATTCAGTTTGCCATGATGATAACTGCACGTATGTGCCTAGATCTAGATCTAGTCTGGCATACTTGTCAATTTGTTCCAGATGAGAATACTGTTGCTTACATTGCTGGTTTTGTGTCGTTAAGGTTGACAAAACATTTGAAATATGTGAAACCTTAGTTGACTCTCAGTGTGTCAAATGTAACTTCCTTGCTGTTTTTGAAGTCTCATCGGAGGGGTGACAGTGCCTTCAAAGAATGTCATTGATGATTGAAGTGTGTTTGGTGTGTGAATAACATTTTCGATGCCATGTGTCGTCGTGCAGGGGGCGTGACATTGTCAAATGAGAAAAGTCACAAATTAATGCAATCTGTTTTGAAATTCTTATATAAATAAGCCTATCATTTCAAATTTTCTATTAATTTTTTAATACACAACAGTATTTTGTAAAATTTTGATAACGTAACCAGGTGTTTTAAAAGTGCCCCTCCCTCCTCACTTTTTTTTTTGGGGGGGGGGCTGTTTTATTCTTATTATTTTGTTGGGGGGGGGGGGTGGTTAATTTCCACCATTCATACTTCACTTATTCTGCCTTACCCTCTCCTTCCTCATTCTTCGCCATTCCCATCCCACCCTCACTACCATCTTTAGTGTAATCATTTTCCATTTTGTTAGAAATATATTTTGTTCTATGTTTAAGTCAAGAAGTCTACGTTTTTGTAAAAATAATGTCCGCGATGACACCATTTTGCAGTGATGAATTTCTATAACCGAAAAGTCTGCAAACTTTGTTATCCCATTTATATTTTTGTTTTGATCCTTATTATCCCAATTTCTTCTCTAAAACATGTTAAAAAAAAAATCTTACCGTCACAATGTGTGTATACATAGTACATTTATTACTGTAAATATTCGACTATGTGAGCTGGTAATTTGATGCAAGTAAGATTTCTTAACATCCTTATTATATTACTACTGTACGTGAGTGCTTATAATGCTGTAATTAACATTGAGAAAGAAATTTCGAGAGACAATGGAGTCCGAGCAGCTTGTTTTGAAAAGAGATTACGTTGCGTACGCTGCGTTGTTTTGAACTTACAAAGATGGCGGCAGCCCCGATAAACTCCGCCCTGTCGGCTTCAACTTGGTTTGAACTGTTGAGCGGGCGACGCAACGTTAGGGCCTCTCCCTATATAGTTGGTCCAATCCATCGCCAATGCCTTCTTCCCACCCCCACCTCATGTGACCAGGCTCTGTCTCGTTCTTCTTAATACTTCCTCGTTGGTAATCCTGTCTGTCCATCTGATCCTCAAGTAGCTTCCTCAGACACATATTGATATTACAGTATATGTTACAGTAATAAGTAAAAATGTATTCCAGTCTGGTACTCAGTGCTCACACTACCATTGGTGGACCTGGATGGCTTAAATTGTAAGATTATAAAAGCCATATAAAAAAAAATTAAAGATCATCTCACTAGTAGACTATGAAATAGCCGCATAGCAGCATAGCAATACTGCATCATTGGTTTAGAGAATGGAAAGCAAAATAATCCCTCGAAAATTTGAAAAACAGGATGGCATTCTAAAATTCAAGAATTGAAAGCTGATTCATGGTCTTGCAAGTTCTGAAAAACTCTCACTAAAACTAAAACTATAAATCAATAAAAACTAAGTATACAGGGTTCCTGTGGTTTCCTTGTATTCAAGGAGTCCTTGAAAACTCCTTGAATTTGCATTCAAGGAAAAAATCTCTCCTTGAATATGAGGAACCTCCTTGAAAACTCCTTGAATTTCACCATATATGAACAAAATTTTTGTTGGACAATCGAAACTACAATTCCTTTCGGACAAGTGTAAGTTTTTCGGAAATAGGCTTTCGTGGTGCGAGTGTGCTGTCAAAAACGGCATGAATTTCTTGAATTCTTGACCAAGTCTGCTTGAATTTTTAGAATTTCTCCTTGAAATCTTCTTGAAATTGGTGGGGAGTTCATGGCAGGAACCCTGACTGTATCTGCAAGGTTTTGGTAAATAAGTCAGTGTTTTCACTTTCTGTATAACTTTAACTTAACGCAGCATCTGGTTGATGAGCTCTCTCTCTCTCTCTCTCTCTCTCTCTCTCTCTCTCTCTCTCTCTCTCTCTCTCTCTCTCCCTCTCTCCCTCCCTCCCTCCCTCCCTCCCTCCCTCCCTCCCTCTCTCTCTCTCTCTCTCTCTCTCTCTCTCTCTCTCTCTCTCTCTCTCTCTCTCTCTCTCTCTCTCCCTCTCTCTCTCTCCCCCCCTCTCCTCTCTCCCTCTCTATCACTCTCTCTCTCTCACTCTCTAGGTCTCTCTCTCTCTCACTCTCTAGGTCTCTCTCTCTCACTCTCTAGGTCTCTCTCTCTCTCACTCTCTAGGTCTCTCTCTCTCTCTCTCTCTCTCTCTCTCTCTCTCCCCCCCCTCTCCTCTCTCCCCCTCTCCTCTCTCCCTCTCTATCACTCTCTCTCTCTCACTCTCTAGGTCTCTCTCTCTCTCTCTGGAGTATGTTTGTCTTTGCCTAAGCACTTAAGTGAAGTATCACTGGTATCTTGTGTGAGCTTTTCTAAAAAATCGAAAGAGTAGATATATTTTGGTCTGCAAAAGAAGACAGGACAGTATGTCCCATCCAGTATGAGACTGAAATTATAATCTGTTTGGTAGTAGCCAAGTCCATTCCTCCAAACCCTTTTCTTTGAAAAACTGGTTGAATAAAATCTATAGCTGTGGCCCCTTAAACAGTTTCAGTTTCAGTCTTACTACTTTACAAAGTACTGTCAGTCAAAATCGCAAAGGAAGAGGGGGTGGGGGACGAGAGAACACTCTATAGCTCTCCTGGTTTTTTATTATATATATTATATATATATATAAAGCCCAATATGTTTTTTCCTTTCATTATAATTCTGTTTTCCTTTCTTCCCTTTGCTCTTTTAATTTTTTTTATTTAAAAGATTTGTCACGCTTCCTTCCACCTTTCTACTGTCTATGCTCAACTTAGCTCCTTTCAAATTTTGTGAATTAGCATATTTTTTTTAGGAGGAGCCTGTTATGCTAGTATTGAATTTTGTTTGCATGAATGTATACATGTTTGACGGCCATTCTGAAGGAAGAAGCAAGGCAGAGGGTTGGCTGGACCAGGGTTTGGCTTTTTCTTTTATAGTTTTGTTTTGGATGGGGTTTTGATATATAAATATGTAATGTTTATAAATATATGTAATCTGTACCTGTATAAAAAATATGTTATATTTAGTTGACTGTTGTCAACGGACGGACTTGTTTAAACAAGAATTATTCTTTCAGTTTCACTTGTTACTGTTATGGTCACAGTCATCACCAGAAATAGTCAAGTGTCTGTTCTTTCATGATGTATAAAATGGATCTTGGAAGTAGGTTTGCTTACTGTTTTGGTGAAAAAAGTTTTAGTTACCCTCCTGTGCTAACTATTTGAAGTGAAGAAGCTAGCTACTGTCTTGTGTCATATTTGTGTTGACAAAGTTGTTTGTGCTCATTGAGGGGACAGTGGGTTCTGCGCCATTCTTTGATTTCTTAATCACAATTTATCTGCGGTATATACAAACTAGTAAATTCACCCACCTTCCACTGATTATGTCTACCCCATTACGTGAGTGGTTGTTTCATATAAAAACACTTGCACACAATACGAGTGATTTTTTGGGGGGTAAAAAATAATGTAAAAAAGTATACTCCTAGTATTACTCGCACAACATGCAGCCTAGATCAGATAGGACCTTGGTATATAGTGCCAAATATAGGATTTTCCAATAAAACCCGGACTATTTAGATCTACAGTAGTATCATATAGTTATATTAAATTACACCACTTCATGGCGTCTTGGCCACTCCGGTGTCACATATATTTAATCAGTACCCTTGTAACAACCAACAGTTTTTAAAGGTAAGACGCTTATAATTTGATGCCTGACTAGTACTTCGTTTCAAGCATGTTAAATCTCCCTCTAACGTGTCAATATCAGAAATTCACCACATAATTTACGTGCAACCTACAAAAATGGGTCGATATACCCCCAGTATTATGAGAGGTTAGTGTGTTATAGGTGAGAATATACCGTTAATATCTTTAAGTGTCATACTTATTAAAATCAAGAACTCTCATCACATACAAGTAACCATAAATTTTTTTCCTTTTTATCCAAATTGTAAAAAAATACTGCGTTCAAAATCATCATGAATAACCAGCTCTGTCATGTTTTAGGAACATTGAATGCTTCTTTTTAAATTTTGAGATTTGAAGAGTGGTTTCTTCTATAGGTGACACAAAGATCAGCATCACCAGAATTGTGTGTACATATATTTAAATTTATAATATAATGTCCTCATGAGCGTCAATGTATTATATATACGTATATGATCGGCTTTTTTTCAATTGTAACAGCAGATTTCACAAATGTTATACTTTTAAAATAGTGCTGCACTCTTGTTCTTTAGGCCACTAAGTGTATTACTATGCCTGAAGCGAAGAACACAGAGGTGGTTGGAGGGCATCGTTGGTATGGTGGTTTCTACTTCTTTACTTTCCCTCTGTTATTTCTGTCTGTCTGTCTTACTTTTTCATTTTTGTGGGTGGTTGGCGGGTGCTCTGGTGTGGTTTGCTCCTTCTTTCCTATCAAACATCTATCGTCCTGATCCCTCCTCCTTCTTTTCTGTGTTTATTACTCGCTTGTAACACCTCTAATCTTCGGCACTTTATGACCTTATTCTGTTACAAGTGCCGTAAAACTCTTATTAAAACTAAACATCTCACTTTATCCCAGTACTAAATGACCGTTATTGTGTGGATGTGCTTCTCTTCACTCAAACTAACAAGTGAGGACCTGCCATGTTTTTTACACTCATCTGCAGGGATCATGGCCTTCCCTTTGCTCAATGCAAGGTACGAGGGTCCTCTCGGAGGCCTGGACAAAGTTCCGCGACCGTTTCTGATTGGTGTGGCGGGCGGTACTGCCTCCGGCAAGGTGAGACTCGGGGGGGGGGGGGGGGGGGGGTTCGGTTACATCGGAAAACTGGAGAGTCACATTGTGCTGTGATAGTATCATGAAATGTCTGCTGATGTGTAAACGTTATTCTAAAGAGTGTATGTATGCTTGTTCATTCCCTCACTTCACTTGTGTTTTTCTGTTGATTAAGATGAAGTTATTGTAAAGTGCCTAGAGCTGTATTGTTTGTCATGTGTTAGCAAAAATCTGAAAGGCCTCATGTATGCATGTTCATTCACTGGTATTTTTGTGTTGATTAAGATGATGTTATGGTAAAGCGCCTAGAGCTGTGTTGTAAGGAAATGGGAGCAATTAAAATTATCTACATCATTATTATTATTTTGGTTGAGTGCTATATATATATACAGTCGAAATGGTCTACAACAGCCACTCGTTTTGGAGGAGAATAAAAGCGGTTGTCTTAAACATGTGAAAGTCCTGGAACTTGTAATTATTCATTATGATATCCGAAGTTCAAAAGTATGCTATACCACACATACCCGATGTTGTGGTCATTATTATTGTTTATATCATTATCATTATTTTTTTTTTTTTAATTGTTATTAATTTGCTTCCCCGTATTTCGGAACGGTCTATCAGAGCACGGTGTGTGACAAGATCATGGAGCAGCTGAAGAAGTCGGGCTTGGAGCACCATCGTCATGTGACCATCATAAGCCAGGACAGCTTCTACCGCGACCTCACAGCGGAGGAACACGAGCGAGCCAAGAAGGGAGAGCACAACTTTGACCATCCAGGTTTGTCTGCGCGTCTGTTTCTTAAAGTGGATACCCGTAGGTCAAGTGCATTATGATCAAAAGAAAGAATGATATAAAAGAAGTTTTTTACCTTCGAGCATAGGGCTATTGTCAGAATAAGCATCAGTGTATATTGCTCTTTTGAGTGTATATATCTTTATAACTCTAAAGGTCTTGTAATTAAATTCCTGCATGTGGTTGAATGATACATCTGATGTGATAAATACATTTTGTTAGCTTTACTTTCTTTTCATATTTAATTTTAATGAGAGTAATTATATAATTTACATTTGTATGCATATTTGCATGTGTTGTTACGGTCCTGTACAGCCGAGAAAAATTTCACTCTAGGATATTTAAGTATTATCTTATGTCATCTTATCTTGGGGGGGGGTCAGGTCAGATAGTGAGTGATAATGATGATGTCTTTTGCACACTGTGTCAAATTTGATTAAGCAAAGCGGGGGTCATTTGGCATATTATGTCAAACTGACCCCTGCTTTGTTTGATCAAATTTGACCCAGAAGAAATCTATTTGGGCCATTCATACTGTTTTAAAGTAATACTTCAACGTACCTTACCAGTTTTTTTTAATTCAGAAATTTACAATTCCTTTTTGTATAGCCTATTTAGTTTCAGCCATGTCAAGGGGAAAATTTTATTTTAGTTCGTTGGGGTTTTTTTTTCTATTTCTACAATTTTGATTTATAGATTTTTGTATTGATATCTATTATCTATTTGTGGTGGCCGAATTTTGCTATTCAAAAGGCTTTTTAATGGCTGCATCGATCGACATGCCGTTTTCGCCGAAAAAATTCTTTAAAATATTCTCCAGATCATGAGGCCCTTGGTTTTTTCAGTTTTGAGACAGTTTGGCTGCAAAAAGCTGAATTTCTTTATTTCGCCGATCGCTCTCTGTAGGCCGACGCTTCTGTCTCTGTAATTTTAGAAAATCCGGATGTGATATTTTGCAAGGAGCATTTTGTTTTGAGAGTATAGATCTTGACCTTGTCATTTTTTGCATCTCTCAAGATTTATTTCCCCGTTCCAGTAGAGTGTAAATATAGTAGGCCAATGGCTTTTAGATGATATTAAAGCACCGATCATTTCTTTCATCGAAAGGGGGCCCAGCAAGTATTATCTATATAAATGTTTTACTTTTTTAATGAGTTTTAAGTGATGATGTTGTGACGTTTGACAATGGTTTTGGTCTCTCTTGTTCCTTTTTTACAAATTTGCTTTGTGGATTTTTACTTTGACTTTGATATATACTTTGAATTTACGCCTGGACAATGGAGGGCCATCTTGGACAATTTCAATTGTATTTCTTTAACTTTTACTTTAATCCATAATCTTCCAACTTAGAACACAACATGTACCCCTCAACCAACATCTCAGTCGAATTGGAGTAAAGCAGTCTGCTGCCTGCCCACTATGTGACTACCCCTCAGAGACAGTGGAACATCATCTGTTCTTCTGTAGAAAACTAACTGATTTAAGGGGATATTTTCTTCCCAAGCTACCCCACACATCTAATTGCCTCTGCTCCTCAAGACAACAATTAGAACAAACATGCAACTATTACCGAATGGCATCATGCAGAAGAGTTGACGCTCAGATGCTACTGGATCACTAACAACAACAAGCATCAATGAAATCTTTTAGCACCAATCAGGCTCTATACTGGTGCCTACCATTTTACTAATTAGATTAGAGATCCAGGTCCTCGAGTCTTTAGGTTCTATCCATGGAAGAGTTGGGGTTTTTTCAGTCTTTTTTTAACATGAGTGGTTTGCTCCTTCTTTCCTATCGAACATCTATCGTCTTTATCTCCCTTCCTTCTTTTTTGTGTTTGTTACTCCCTGGTAACACCTCTAATCTTCGGCACTTATGTGACCTTATTGTTTTGAAAGTGCCAATGAACTCTTACGGGAAAAATAACATAAAACAAGTGTTTTCGAATTGATATATAAAATTCTATTAGATATATAACTCTGTTATGATGCCACTACATGACTATTACAACAACTGTTTAATAAGGTTCCTTTTGTAAGAAGCCAAATTTTGTTATTTTCTTTGCATGGTATGATGAATTTCATTTAAGTTTGTACTTGTAAGTACGATATGACAAATTTTACTTTGGATTCATTAGTTCTTTGTACATGAAAAGTGTGACAAATTTTACTTGAGATCATAAATTCTTTGTACATGAAAAGTGTGACAAATTTTACTTGAGATCATAAATTCTTTGTACATGAAAAGTGTGACAAATTTTACTTGAGATCATAAATTCTTTGTACATGAAAAGTGTGACAAATTTTACTTGAGATCATAAATTCTTTGTACATGAAAAGTGTGACAAATTTTACTTGAGATCATAAATTCTTTGTACATGAAAAGTGTGACAAATTTTACTTGAGATCATAAATTCTTTGTACATGAAAAGTGTGACAAATTTTACTTGAGATCATAAATTCTTTGTACATGAAAAGTGTGACAAATTTTACTTGAGATCATAAATTCTTTGTACATGAAAAGTGTCATGTCATTTCGAGGATCAACGTTCCTTTTGTTGTAGTAAGAGGATTACGGCATTTGAGCACAATAAGGTCATACAAGTGCGGAAGATTTTGAGGTGTTACAAGAGAGTAACAGACACAAAAAAGAAGGAGGGGAGATAAAGACAATAGGTGTTTGATAGGAAAGAAGAAGCAAACCACACCAGAGCACACGCCAACCACCCATGAACCAACATTCCCATGAGAGAACCATCTGTGACCCCCCGGGACGGTGCTACTGACTGAAGTGTCTTTAGGCCATTCCCAAAAGGGGGGGACATTAACATCTTGAGTTCTTATGCACAGTAGAAGTGTAATTGTAAATGGGCTGATTCATCAATGTCATGCTCATAACTGTTCCTGAACTGCAACAGGGGACTGCTACTTTTTCTTTCTTAATCCTTATTATCGTCATTTTTCCTCCACTTCTTTTGTGTGTTTGTCACACTCTTGTCACCCGTTATTTCCGGGGTGCCTTGATAGTTCAAACAGACTTTGTGCTGTTGAAGCTTAAGAAGTGAGCAGAGTAAGCCTGATTCCCTGTAAAGACCTCTCTGTTGACATCCACTCCTTGGCACTCATATGACCTTATGCAGTTGCGAGCGCCGTAAAACCACTGCTAAAACTAAAACGAAACGAACCATCTGTCCCCAGACTCGTTCGACGTGGAGTTGATGAGGAGAACTCTGGTGGACATAAAGGCTGGAAAAGTGATGGAGCTCCCCATGTATGACTACATTGCTCATAAGCGGTAAGTCCGTCTGCCAGCCATTAACCCTTTCATGAAGTAAGGGTTTGGTGTTGGTAAAGATTTACGTCTCCTGGATTCTGGTTAGACGTGACTTGACCTGGACCCGACATTGTCATCTATGCCTTCAAGCACCCGTACAGCCTAATTAGGTGTGAATATTTAGCAAATATGTTATGCTGTAACCATGTAACTGGAAGAAATAAGTCATCTCCTTAGGTCAATTTTTTTTGTTTCTACACTGTTGCCAAGGTAAATCTGCGTGTCCTCAATACATATCAGGATTAAGCTTACCCTAAAATACAGTCTAAAAGGCACATAACATACAGCAGGTAGTGAACAGATTTTCTGGGGCAGAATGTTAGCTTACACAAGTACGTTCTTTGTATTTGAAACACGTACATTGAGAAGTTCTAGCATATTGAAAACATTCCAGCGTCCGGACAATTTCACTAGGTCAGCTAACTTTAGTGTCTTCTCTCCTAATCAAGGATGCCATTTTTCCATTATTTCCGTTTTTTCCGTTATTTTGGGCATCGTCTGTTCTTAAATCTGTTTTCCATTCATCAGATCCATTCTCCGTTAACCAGGCAAAAATGGTTGTGCGGGAAGCCGATTTTCCGTTTTGTTCCATATACGGACGGAGTGGCACAAGATCCATATTTTTAGTCAACAGAAGTACACTCACTCACTCACTGAATCAAAATGTGCATAATCAACCGGATGTTTAGGTCCAATTTCAAATGTAGGCCAGGCCTAGCCTTGTGCACTCAGTCTGGAAAAAGTTTTCAGTTATTTTTACAAAAGTCCAGGGCATCCCTGTATAATTTAACCAGTAAGGGTTTGTTTGGGGTTTTTTTTTGTGTGTTCAAAAATTTTCAAGAAGCCAGTTCACAGTTAGAGCATAACGCCATGAATGTACTATTTGACACTCACACAACGCCCCTGCCCCCTCCCTCTCTCCCTCATCCATGTAGAACCACCAAGACAACAGTCATACACTGTGCCGATGTCGTCCTCTTCGAAGGAATCCTCGTCTTCTACTTCCCGGAGATCCGCGACTTGTTCAACATGAGGCTCTTCGTGGACACAGACCCCGACACTCGTCTCTCCAGAAGAGGTGAATTTTTTTGACAAGATAGCAGGTGGTTGGCAGGCGCCATTGTTAGGTCCTACTTTTTTTGCTGTTTTTGACAATGACAATGACAATCTTTATTCATCTCACAGGGAGAAATTGGTCTTGGTCGTTGACAATAGCAGTAGACGTTACAAAGGTTAGGTGCTCTCACCCATACACTCAACAAGACAGGACATTAGTAAATACATGTCTCACGTGCTGGGACAACCCGCTCTGTAAAACTTTCTTTCTCTCTCTCTCTCTCTCTCTCTCTCTCTTTCTCTCTCTCTTTCTCTCTCTGTTTCATTTGTAGCACTGTGTGTTCAGTAACCTCACTGCAGTTGGTACGAATGAATTTCTATATCTGTCAGTTCTTGCTTTTTTGGAAATGTTTTGTTTCTGTCCGTATGTTTTGCTCTTCCTCCAGCACTAAATTACCTGTATTGTGTTTCTCTTTAACTCAAACAAATCCAAAAAACGCAGATAGATTATTTAATACTAGACGATACTAACTTGTGTTTTGAACAACAGATTTTGTGACACAAAAAATATGAGAATATGAGATTAGACACTTAATAGTAGTCTGACACGAACACACTCACACGCACCTACACGTTCACACAAGGTCACTCCCTCCTAACAACCATTCCCCCCCCACACACACACACACACACACACACCATCACTCTCTCGCTGCAAACTACTGTCACTGCCAGGCCCATCACATTGTAAATTTACATAAATTAAATATACATGCTTTTGGTCGTCTAGCTCTCACTGGTAAAATTGAAAGCAAACAAGGCAGGGGTAGACCCAGAGGAACTTGCTTGGAAGGACTAAACAGATGGGTGACGGGAGAGATCAGGATAATGTCGCTTTTTGGAGAGATTTGGAGTCAAATGAATTTATAATGGAGAACTACGATCACCGATGTCTGTCGCAGCTGTGGCCCTTGACGAAGATGACACAGAGTGTTATCATGAAACAAAATGTGGACGTTGGCACGGTTCATATTCATAATACAGTGAAATCCTGTTATAACGAGAGGGAGGGGACCGGTGCCAAATGTCCGTTATAGCAAGATTCTCGTTATAAGGGATCTAGTAATAAATTCAAGGGAAATAGTCAAGTAGGCCTTATATACGAGTCTGGTTTTCAGTTATTTCTTTTTGTAATCCCCTGATGATGATTTGGTTCAACATGACCTTTAAGTCTTACTCGATCAAAAGTCGAATCGGGTTTCTTTCTCTAGCGTTAGCGATGTTGACAGCTGGGCGTTGGCGATCAGAAAGGGCTCTAGGCTAATTCACCCGCTGTGTTGTCCCCCACCCCCACCACACCCGGTGGTGTGTTCCATATGCTTGCTCACAATGGGAACACACCACACCCTGTCCACGTCGCACATTCGCTCTGTCCATCACAGTACAACACTATGACCTCTCCATCACCGCATCGGAGAAGTGAGAGGCAAGGTAGGCCTAGATAATCTAGACTAGGCTGGCCTATCACACAATGCGTTTTGCTTGTCTGTGCATCCCACACTTCTCCCCACTCATTCACCCCGGCCTTCCTTGTTGGCACTCATGGGCTCTCCCACTCTTTTGTTTTGCCAGATAACCAACAAGTTTCTCAACTTGCGAGGTTTTACATATGAATAAATGGCCTGTGTGCTGTTCACAGCAGCAGCAATATTCCGCTATAACCGACTCGCGTGTTTGTCTGATTGCGTTATAGCAGTATTTTATTTACAACGATAAAGAAGAGGAAAAACAGGGTTTTACAATAGTGTGTTTATAACAGACTTCTCGTTATTTCAGGACTCGTTATATGTGGATTCCACTGTGCTCTAAACTTATTTTTGTTTATTCTCTAAGTGCACCGTTAACTCAGTTAGTGCATGTTGGTCTGCAGTCCAGGTGACCTTGGTTCAAACCCACAATGGGGGCATTCGTGAGCTGGGGCTGCTGAGGAAGTTTTCGTGACCTTCATTGACGTGAACCTTTTTTTGTGGGTGGTTGGTAGGTGCTCTGGTGTGGTTTGCTCCTTCTTTCTTAGATCAAATATCTGTCATCCTTGTCTGTCCTCCTTCTTTACTATCAAACATTTGTCGTGCTTATCTCTCTCCCTTCTTTACTATCAAACATTTGTCGTGCTTATCTCTCTCCCTTCTTTTTACTGTCAAACATTTGTCGTCCTTATCTCTCCTCCTTCTTTTTTGTGTTTTTTACTCTCTTGTAACACCTCTACTCTTCGACACTTATATGACCTTATTGTGTTGTAAATGCCGTTAAACTCTTACTAAAACTAAAAACATTTGTCTTCCTTATCTCTCCGCCTTTTGTTTGTATGTTACTCTCTACTTTTAACGACAACCCGACTCTTCGGCATTTGTTTGACTTATTTGTGTCTTTTCAAGACTGAGACTAAGAACCTTTTGTTTTTGTGTTCTTTCAGTTTTGCGAGATGTGGAGGAGAGAGGTCGCAGCCTGGAGCAGATCTTGCACCAATACATGACCCTGGTCAAGCCAGCATTTGAGGAGTTCTGTCTACCGGTCAGTTTAGAACATTATTAGAAATTAGGATTCCGCTTTTGCTTATCCCAATGGTCTACCTACAGTATAATCGACTTATATCCACACCCGATTTATCGACATTTTGACATATCGGCATATTTCCCAATTACGAAATTTTTCCTTCAATATCTTCACTAAACAATTTCTCTTATATCGACTTTTTTTTCGGCCCACTCTGCTTTATCGACAATCTTCCTGGGTACCTGGAGAAGCCCACGAACATAAATGGGGGAAAAAGCCACGCTAACGGTCAACGCATTAGTTCTTCATTTAAGTCCGCAAACCCGCCAAGTAGCCTATATTGACACACCAGGCTTTAGTAGGTCATGCAGGGCCTACACAGTGTAGTCTCCAACACAGTACAGTGCCTCACAGATGTGAGCGTCTCCTGTGCTGCGCATCTCCTCCTTACCCCTCCTTCTCGATCGTGTTGTCTTTTTACAACTGACCTCCCCTTGTTTTTACCCCTTTGGCTTTATATTTTTTTGTATCGACATCAAATCCACTTCGCAAAGCATGTCGATATAAGCGGATTATACTGTACTTACATACCCAAATTCATTAAAAGATTACAGTCAAAACTGGATAATACTAATAATAAATAGCATTTGTATAGCGCATATCCCCGCTCAACAGCAGGCTGTATGCGCTTTACACTATATTATTACCGCAGCAGACCATAGAACACCCCGAAACATTCTAGGCTTCACGGGAAGCCTACAGTGCAAGCAGCTGATTAAGCGCTCAAACACTAACAAACTGACAAGATCTTTTGCTGTCTATAGCCGGGTACCCGTTCCCACCTGGGTGAAGTGAGGAAAAGTGGTGTAAAGTGCCTTTCCCAAGGACACAACGTCGGCCCCCCTGACGGGATTCGAACCCGAAGGTCGCGAGTCCGAGAGCCTAACCACTAGGCCACAGACGCCACGGTTTCTTACACAGGTGGCTGTCTTACACAGTGTCATTATAAATACGCACAAGAGGAAATGGGATTTGGTTGTTTGTTCAGGTGATTGTCTTTTATACAGGTAGTTGTCAGAATAGGTTCGATTAGTTTTTGAACTCCAACTTTTTTTTTTGCTTGACATAATAATATCACCTCAATACATGTACATAACAATCAACAGGCCAGACCTGTGCACCATTCTGGGGATTTTTTGTTTTTCTTTGTTTTTGTTTTGTTTTTTTGTTTTTCTGGGGGGGCTTATTTAGGGTTATCAATATTTTGTCATGCTCTAGGACACACTGGTGTGGGCACCCAGCTAAACTTTGTGTCATAGACATGTGCTTGACTTTCTTTTGGGCTGGAGCAGACTTGCTGCAGGACCACTGAGTTGAAGCATGATACTGTAGAATACATCTTTGTCCTCTTCACACACCACAAAGACATTTGAGATGTGACCAGCGCCCCCCCCCCCCGAGCAGTGCTACTGACTGAAGTGTCTTTAGGCCATTCCAGAAGGGGGGACATTTACATGTTCTTGTGCACAGTAGAATTGTAAATGGGCTGATTCATCAATGTCATGCTAATAACTGTGCCTGAACTGCAACAGGGAACTGCTGCTTTTTTTTTTCCTAATCCTTACTATCGTCATTTTTTCTTCTACTTCTTTTGTATGTTTGTCACACTCTTGTGACCCTCTATTTCCGGAGTTCCTTGATAGTCGAAGCAGACTTTGTGCTATTGAAGCTAGAGAGGTGAGCAGAGTAAGCCTGATCCCCTGTAAAGACTTCTCTATTGACATCCACCCCTTGGCGCTATTGCGAGCGCCGTAAAACCTCTACTAAAACAAACTGAGATTTGAGATCTTAGGATGACAGTGCCCACTAGAACAGCTGACAAGTCAGGTGGAAGCTTTCTCTGCCTTTGCCTCTAAAATATTAAGTTCCCTCCCAAAAGAAATGTGCTCTATAAAATCAGACCAAGAAAGAGTTTTTAGTAAGTTTAGAGACCCATTTGTTCAACACTATCCTCTACCAGTAGATTTTCTATGTGATAATACTGATAATTGTGTGTGGGCCTGGGAATTGAGTGTGTGTGTTTGTGAGTGTGTGTGTTGTTAAATGGTCTCGTAGTGTGCATTTTCTGTCTTTTACTTAAGTTGATTAACGATTTTGCATTATACAGCACTAAGAGTCTTCTAGGGATTAGACGCTATAGGCCTACAAAAATTCCCATTGTAAATTATTATTATTATTATTGTTATTATTATTATTTTCATCATCATCATTATTATTATTATTATTATCATTATTATTAGCTGCTGTAGAATGCTATTGCTGTTCTAAGTTTCAATGCGTTGTTTCACATTAATCGTCATTTATGTGTCTGTGGATTTCAGACCAAAAAATATGCTGACGTGATCATTCCCCGCGGGGCAGACAATATTGGTGAGTAGTTTCTCTTGGCTGAGGAAAAGCTTTGTAAACCTGTGTCAAGGGATTATATTTTAATGCTGTCCTAAAAAAAAAAAACTGAACGACTATAATATTTTTAATTGCACTCATACGACCTTACGTTGTTGCGAGTGCAATTTAAAATACTACCAAAACTAAAATGTTTTTACTTCACCCTGTGTAGAAAGGTCAATGGGCATTTTTGATTTTTTTGTTTACCGCTGCGATAGTGCACTCTCTTTGTACTCATGTACTCTTTGCGAGTGTCGTTGGAGGAAGCGACCCCTGGCTGGCTCATGTTGTTTTGGGGTTTTTTTCTCTTCCTTTTTACTTTTATTTAAATGGGCTGATTTATACATGTCATGCTCATACTGTGCCGGAACAACATAGGGGAACTGCTGCTTTTTCTTTCCCCATCTTTGCTATCGTCATTTTTCTGTACTAATTTGTATATTTGTCACTTTCTTGTGAATTGCTATTTTCGGGGTGCCTTGATAGTCTAAGCAGACGTTGTGCTGTTGAGGCTAGAGAGGTGAGCAGAGTAAGCCTGATTCCCCGTTTAGACTTCTCTGTTGACATCCACCCCATGGCTCTCTCATGACCTTATGTTTTTTTAGTAAAACTTTACTAAAAAAACAATCTCTATTATTACAATCTGTATTACAATCTCATTACAATCTATGCTCCCCCAGTGGCGGTGGACCTGATCGTGCAGCACATCCAGGAGCTGATGCGACCCAACAGACCTGGGCGCAGACAGCGCAACAACTCCGACTCCATCGTGGGGCGACCTCACTGAACCCCGCGCCCGGTGCCCGAGACTGCCACAGCTGTAGGTCGTACACGGACAATTTTGTTTTATAGCAGGCTGCTGACTGGTGCGGAAGATATGACAAGTGCAACTGTACAATCGTGCGCGTGTGGGATGGAGATATATTTGCTAAATCAAATGACTGCGTGCGTGTGTGTGTCATTTTTTTTTTTTTGTATTATAAATTGTTGTTTGTTGGAATTGAGAGTCTCAGAAGAATTATTTGTGGGGTAGGGGAAATGGGGAATAAGATCTAATGTGCGATACACGTGGACGTTGGTGTAGCAATGTACGTTTGTTTGATTTTGTACAAGTAATACAGTCTAGCATATACATAGCAAAATCAGCAGGAAGCAGGAATCTTTTTATTATGTGTATGAATTTGGTTATGTACATGTTATAAATCCCAAAAAGATATGTGCATAAGAAAAAAATTTAGGAGCTGAGAATCTGTTCGCTATATATGGGTGTTTAGCTCTGTTCGTTGTGTGCATGCTAGACCGTATTTTCAAGTCGTCGGGATTGTAAACTGACTGTGCCTTGCACAGCTGAAAGTAAACAGTTGACTCGTCAAGTTACCCTCCTCTATAGGAGCGGCTGGTCGGTGGGTTCTTGTCCTACTTCCTTTGTGCGTTACCATTTTCCTTTTCTCTTTATCTGTTCCTGAATGAAATGTGGCTTCTGGCATCAGGTTGATTCACTGTGCAATCTCTAACTCCTTAGGCTAGGTGACACCAGGGTGGTAAATAACTAGACAAACTACTCCGTTATTTTTGTATTATTCCTTGGCCCAATTTGTATTTTGAAAGGTATGAAAAGGAGGGTTTTACTCCTTTTTTTTTAAAAACGCTTTGCAGTTACTTTAATGCGCCGGTGCAAATTATCCGTTCCGGATGCCAGGCCGGAGAAGTCCGTTGTAGTCACTCTCCTGGCTGGGTGACCGGATGGGGTATTTTGTACTGCTGGCTGTGTGAATGCAAAGTGTTAAATGAAGCAGGCTGTTAGAAGAGAGTACAGGAGTAAAACTAGGTCTTAAAATTAGTCACGTACAGTTGGACTGATGTGGTTTGTGAAGGAAGGAAGTGTTCTGTGGAAATTACTTCAGCTCATCGCCTCTTTTTTCTTCCTCTCTAGCATTGTAGTGAAGGTAGTTTAACAAACAAGTTGATCAAAATCAAAAGTGAATTTAGAGATTACTTATCTGTTCTACTGAGTGAGAAAGAGAGAGAGAGACAGACAGACAGAGACCCATGGATGGAACGACTGACAAGACGGATGAACGAAGAGGGGCATTTTCTTGATTTTTGCGTCATGTTGTCTTATATTTAAATGATAAGCGTGTGAACTACATATGAGTTGAAAAGTCTAAATAAATCACCTATTCAGGTCCAAGCGGCATTGAGGAGTCTTTGTGCTCAGCCACTCTCTAAAACAATACAGTCCAGCATGTCACACTCTCGGTTAAATAGATGGAACACAGAAATTTTTTCATAACATACGAATTTTGCAATGTACATGTTTTAAATACCAAGAATTTACATGCATATATATGTATAAGAAAAAGTTCAGGACCTGAAAATCTGTTTGTTACATTCTCGAGTTTTTTCGATGCGTGTTCGCTAAGTGCGTGCTGGACTATAGCTATTTGGAGCTTGCACTCGACTTCCCAAAAGTATTGATTGACTCTTTTGTTAGACGTGTCAACTTCTCGACTGCTTGTGTGTAAGACTCCGCCGTACACCATTTTGAAAAAATGGCACATGATGGAGTCTTACATTAAGCAGCCGATATTCTTTCCTGCTGATGATTATACAGACCTAGAGATCTCTTATTTCCTGTTCCAGTTGTATGACATTTGTGTAACTGTCGAGCATTTGTTTAGTAACTCGTACTGAAATTAGCCGTTGTTGAAACCAACAAAGTTTACAATGTGTTACTAGATAGAACCGTTATGAAAAATGCACTCGTTCAGTGTAAAGATACACGCATGTACCATTGTTTTTTGGTCTTATTCTTTTTCCCTTGCCGTTTGTGCAATTTTGTCCCCACTTCTTCCTCTCAGTTTATTTGACCCCGGTAGTTACAGAGCCTGTCACATAATGCACAGCTTATTGCTAATACTAGTGCAACCAGTGACTAATTTCTTTCTCCTTTGTAAGTTGGCTCTGACAATTGTTGTTTTGTTTTTTTGGTGGGTGAGCTGGTCGATAGTTGAAATTCCGATGTCAGTGGGTGGCTATGGTCACTAAGCATTATGGGTATTCTTTTTAATATTTTGGTTTTTTTATGGGGTGGGGGGTAATGAAGGGTTCATGATTATATATATATGTTTTGTTTTTGCATGCAGAGTGTAGATCTGTGTTGTTTGGACTTTTTTTTATCATGACTTGGTGGGTGGTTGGCAGGTGCTCTGGTGTGGGTTGCATCTTCTTCCATATTAAAAATCTATCGTACTTGTCTCTCCTCCTTTTTTTTTTTTTTTTTTTAGTTTGTTACTCTATTGGACCATCTTTAATCTTCGGCACCTCCGTCGTGTTGCAGGGGCCATAAAATGCTTCCTTAAAAAACAAACAAATATCATGACTTGTTGCTGTTAAAGCTTAAGGTCTCTGTGGTACTGACTTCTACATTTTGACATATGATAATTTTCCCGTCAAGAATGGATATGATCGTAGACTGACCTATGCAGTATTGTAACGTCTTTGATGAGTTGATTGTGGATTTTTTCCCCAAAAATAATTTCAGCGTACCTCTGCCCCCAAAAAATAAAAAATTAACAAGGTGTACTCTTGTTGAATTAATTTTTTTCTTTAATGTTTTTTATTTTGTTGTTGTTGTTTTTTGGTTTGTGTTTGGGTTTTATTTGCTTTTTTGTTTGTTTGATTGTTTCAACAGGAAAAGTTTTGAAATAAAAATTTGTTGCTTGGAAATCTTTCAGTTACAGTTACAGAATTTCTGTCATGCTTCATGATTCATGGTGTTCCCTCAGAGTGATGATCTCATTTCTCTTTTTGCTCTCCGGTTCCTGCTCAAATTGTCCTGCCACTGTCATTTGTCATAACAGAAAGTATAAACAAAGATCTATGTGTAGAAAGAGATAAGTCTAGTCTGTCGATTGCTCTCTCATGACTAATATCATGGAACAGTTTACCTAAGTTTACCCTCAGTTTCAAGCACTCAAAGACACAACTTGAGATTAAAAGAGAATTCTCTTCCAAAATCTCCAGTGGTCTCCAAATTCCTTTTTTCTTAAATGATCAACGACACACCTGCAGGAGATGCCCACGAAATGTTACAAGCTATCACCCAGCAGTAATGACGAAAACCCAACAATTACTTTATTGACTACTGCTGTTGCTCTCACTCCAGCTGTCTTTAGCTCATCTTGTAAACAAAGAATGGAGATAAACATGTTAACTTAGGACTTGATGAACTTGTTTTTTGTGTTCTACCTTAGTATGGTCTAGTATGCACGCAACGAAATAGGTGGGGTGCTGAAATAATAAAAAGATTTTCGTTGTGTACAAATTTCGCTTAAGTATGTAAGTGTTTTAAATACAAACAGTATACATACATGAGGAAAAACTCTGGACCTGAAAATCTTTTCGCTATGTATGTGTTCGTCATGCATGTGGCGTTTTTGGTTCTGCATTTCAGCGGATCATCACTGAAGTGTCGCTTTGGTTTCGCGTTTCAGCTGATCGCCACTGACGTAGCCATTTGGGGGGGGTCCCAATTTTATCGACCCCAAGATCTACGCCTGATCCTATTGCCACATTTACTACCTACTTTCACCCATATGTGTACTGTGGTTCTCTGTCCAGTTATGAATACTTTTAGTTATCACACAAACAAATTCATTTATATTTGATTGAATTATAGGCTCTGTTTAAAGGTAACACTTGCCTCGAATTGGATGCATAAAATTGTGGAATACCTTGCTTACTCAAAGTATGGATGAATACATGTGTGTCACGACACGGTGGAATCGGGCGCTCATCAATTTTTGGGCATGTGGAGTTATTGGTATCACCTTAAAGCTTGTTCATTTGCCTTGCTTTCGATGAAAGAATTACCCATTTATCTTGAGTACATTCCAGGATATTTGCAATGGATTGAGGTAGGGACGCCTGGTTTCAAAGGTAAAATTAGTGAGAAAATGGCCACCAAAGTTTGGTTACCATATTTACAAAGCCTCATAGTCCATGAAAACAGACAATTTACATGTTTTAATGTCTTTAATCAATGTTTTTCAATATAACCCACACTGAAATGAGTTCTTAAATGGACATAATAGAAGGTGTTGAGCTAAAACACACAATTTCTATAAAAATTGCCAAAACCAGCGAAAAAGTGTATGTTTCTTTAGTTTCATTATTTTGAGGAGCGCCTGATTTCACCACCTTGCCTGCCTCACATATCGCAATAGCCAGCACAGGGTTGTCCACCACCTAACGTCAACTCACTGCAAGGTTTCATTTTTGGACTCAAGCAAAATATATTTGAAAATTAAATCCCAAATACAATCTATTTGAATTTTAATTTGGGTAAATTATAGATTCAAGTTAGAGTAAGCAGAATTTATAAAAATCAAAAATGAGTTATTACTTGTTGCTTCTACAGTTATGGTAGGCTATATAAAATTGTAAACATTTAATTTGTACATGATAGAAACAAAAATGTATTACATGTATTTGTCAAATAAATATAAAAGTATTTTCACTTTCTTCTTTCCCTTTTAGTATCAAAACTGTTGGATGATATAACTGCTCCCCGTTTGTTTTCCGTTTCAGTATTTTGAGCATGAAGTCTGTTATTGTTATCGTTATTAAATTGTTTATAGCCGGGCACAGATAACTCAAAACAGGTCGTCGAGGATTGACAAATGTTTTCGACACGTCCGTAATTCGGGTAAACAGATATAGTGAAAAATGAAAGATCGAGATATCAGTCAGGAATGGCAAATTGTACCAGCTATCAGTGATTTCAAATTTTCCGTTTTCATGTTATGTGTGCCCGGCTGTACAACGTGGATGTTAGGCTGGTGTGTGAAGGTGTTATTGACACCATCGCCATTTTGTCGTTGTTGTGGGGACAATCTGTGACTGGGGAGCCTGTCTTTGTTCCCTCAGCTTTATGTTCCCTCAAGTCAAGTTACATCCTATGTCATGTCTTGTCATAATGCCATGCCATATTACATGACGTAAATATCTCTAGACTTGAAGGAACACAGAGCTGAGGGAACAAATAGCTAATTCTCCTAACAGACCGCTCTTTGTTCCCTCATATCTATGTTCCCTCAGCTCTATGTTCCCTCAGCTCTATGTTCCCTCATTTCAAGTTCAATGATGACCAGAGGTCAACTACTAATGACCACTGGTTTCCCACTGGTCACTTTAACATGACATGGCATGTGACTTGACTGAGGGAACCTTGCTCTGACCCCTGTGACTGTGATAGTGACCGCAGTGTGTACTGGAACTTACTGTAAGTGTCTGATTTTCCGGTGAACGGAGTCCAGCAACCAACACGTGAATTCATAACTGAGATCTGTTTACTGCTCTCAATTCACACAGTATTTTGTGAAGATAGAATGTGATAAGTGATTTTACATCAGTTAAAATAATTACAGTCAAACCTGTCCAGGCCAAGACAGAAGAGAAAACTGCTTGTCTTCAACAGGCACAGGTGGATATCTCGGACAGTGTCATATGAAAATACAAAAATACATATATTATAAGACGTCCAGCCATTGTTGAGGAGGAGAGAGGTTGTATCTTTAAAACAAGTTACTGTCTTGGACCATGTCATTGTTATTATTTATAATAAGGAAAAGCGT